AAAAAAGGCTTAGAATTTTAGCTTATGTCTTGGAGTTTTGGTTCATAAAATATGGTCAGCATAGGGGGTACAGGGAATAGGAAGGGATAAATTGGGAGTTCGAGCTCTGCAGATACTTAGTACTATATGTAAAATAGATAAACAAGTTTCTACTGTATAGTATAGGGAACTGTATTCAATATCTTATAGTAACCTATAATGAAAAAGAATATGAAAAGGAATATAGGTATGTATATGTATGACTAACACATTATGCTGTACACCAGAAATCGATACAACATTGTAAACTGTCTATACTTCAATTAAAAATGCACAAAAATATGGTCAGCATAGATAAAATTTTTCTAAAATATATAAAAATTGAGTATAGCAGTACAATAACTGTGTCATAAAATTGTATTAAATAGTGTACAAACAGAAAGTTCTTAGTTCTTCACAGTCCTTGCCTTATTTTAAACGCCAGAAGAGTTTGGTTCTCTGCCCTGTTCCAGCCCTTTTAAAGGTTCTGTGCATCACATTACTGAGATGAGCCTAAAATCAAGCTGCAAAAACAAAACAAAACAAAAACAAAAAACAGTGCTATTTGGGTCCTTGCACAGATTCCTTCCTACTCACTTGCGTGACTGCTCTCTGCTCACATCTTCCTGGCTTTCATTTTGCTACCTCTAAGTACTTCTGTCCTTCTCTGGTTTACAGGTCCCAGCTTCCTTCTCTGGCACTGGCTCTGAATGCTCCTTTACAGTCATGACCAGCAGTTTGAGGTAAAAGAAATCTTCTCTACTAGCCCTGTCCCCATGGAACTTTTACCAACAAGGTTTTTACCTTTCCGTACTTTGTCAGGGCAGGAAATTTGGATGTTTGGACATGTTTGGATGTTTACACTTTTCCTTCATTTAAAATTTCCTGTGACAAACAGGAGTAGGTTTTAGGGGTCATATGGGTCACCCTTGTCATCTATGAGAGCAGAGGACACATTAAGTTGTTAATGCCATCTTGTTCCACCCAGTTTCCCAGCCACCCCAGAATTATGCAAGACATATTTCCTTATGCTACTTTACTCCTCCTCCTTCTTCTCTCCTTCCTCCTTCTTCTCTCCTTCCTCTTCCTTCCTCCTCCTCCTTCTTCCTTCCCCCTCCTCCTTCTTCCTTCCTCCTCCTCCTCTCCTGCTCCTCCTCTCCTCCTCTTCCTCCTCGTCCTCCTTCTCCTTCTTTTTCTTCTTCTTCTCCTTCTTCTTCTT